CACAAATATATAGAGCCACGTGGGGAAAAGGGAGCCTCAACTGAGGAATCATCCAGATCAGATTGGCCTATGAACAAGGCTGTGAGGCATTTACCTAATAATTAATTGATGTAGGAGGACTCAGCCCACTGTGGGTGGTACCATACATAGGCAGGCCTGGACTGTCTAAGAATCATAACTGAGCAACCAGAGGGAGCAAACCAGTAAGCAGTGTTTCTCCTTGGTTCCTGCTTTGAGTTTCTGCCTTGACCTCCTGCGCTGGCTTCCCTCCACCATGGGCAGTAACCTGGAAGCAAAATAAACCCTTTCCTTCCTGAGTTGCTTTTAGTCATGGTTATCCAAGGAATAGGCAGGAAATTGAACCAGTGCATAGAGGACGGCACCTGAGCTTCAACCCCTTCCGTGTGTCTCAGGTCTAGTGGGATGTTTTTCTTTCACCGTTTGTCTTCTCGCTCATTCCATCCCTATCTCTAACTAGGATACATCCCATACTTTACATCACTTAAGCATCAAGGTGCAAGTGTGGAGTGGAGGAGGGGAAAAAGATGAATAAACAAACATGAAATGACAGGAGAGCCCCGGAAGAGCAGCGGACCATAACCACGTGTTTCAGGATCCCAACTCCTGGCTCATTGCACCAACAGAATCTGTTACTAATATCCCAAAGCTCATAATGGCTTAGAGTTTCATATTCCTTAAAAAATAAGTATTAGATATTTTCCAAAAACAGTAACAACAACAACTGATGGAGAAGGGTCATCTGTCTATTGTTACTTTCATTGGTTAATAAAGAGACTGCCTTGGACTTTTTGATAGGCCAGCCCTTAGGTGGGTGGAGTAGACAGACCAGAATTGTGGGAGAAAGAAAGCAGAGGCAGGCAGTTGCCATGACTCTCCTCTCTGAGACAGACGCAGGTTAAGATCCTTCCTGGTAAGCTACCACTCGTGGTGCTACACAGATTACTAAATATGGGTTAAAGCAATATGTAAGAGTTAGCCAATAAGAGGCTACAGATAATGGTTCAGGCAATGTTTAAAAGAATACAGTTTCCGTGTAATTATTTGGGGGTAAGCTAGCCGGGATCTGAGCGGGAACACAGCCCGCTGTTCCTTATTTTTACAAACAACAAAACAACTACCATTTAAAAATGTGTTTCTTCAGAGTAAGACTGCTGGTTTATCTCTATCTTTTCACACCTAGCTCTGCTGGCTCCTGGCAGTGTCAGATTTCAATAAAAGTTGATCCATGTTGTTTTAAATAACCAGAGTGCTCTTGGTGAATATGCCTATTGAAGCAAATATTCCTAACTGAACTAAATTATTTATATTAAACTCAGTCTTCTTTCTTCCTTCCAAGTCCTTTCCTTTGTTGCTTATTTATATAGAGTGCAATTAAAGGTTGGCGAACGACTATTGCAGATGATGGAATATTGGTTGGGTGCCCAGAGCAGGAGGGGAGATTCACACCCTGTCTTATTCTTATCACACTATCTTCGGATAAGGGAGTCAAGACTTGGTTTGCCGCTTGCTTTTGTATTTAGCCTGTCACTGTGTTTGTTATTTGTCTTGAGTCTTTCATGGCTGAAAAAAGGAGGCAGTGCCCTGAAGGAAGCTCTTTGAGGAAGGCCCCTGGCCCATTCCTCTTCATACTTCTTGTTAACACCCTTCCATCTAGCTAAAGAGGGAAGGAAATGACTACCTTTTACTGAATATCTGCTAAATCAGGCACTTATGGGCACACAGAACATGTTATCCTTCTCAATTAATGCAGCAATCTCAAGACATAAATTGCTCTTAATTTAGAATTGAGAAAACTGAAGAATGCCAGGCTTAAAGGAAATTGCCATAATCATATAGCCACCAGCATCACCACCATACACATAACTGTGGGCACAAGTGGCCAGTTTCACTTATCTATTCAGTGAGCAGCTGTTCTAAAGCCTGTTTTCTCAGATTCCTCATTCTTTACCCTAGCACGGACTGCATCCCCAAGAAATGTGCTTAATTTACAGCAACAAGGGTCTGAGACATTTTGGTGAAAGCACAATGGGTTTCATATCTGAGTATATGTATTTATAAGTATATATATATATATGTATATATATATAAAATTTATGGCTAGTTTTTTTCATAGCTACTCAAAAAAGATATATGGCCACTTCAGTCAAGAGTTGAGAAGGTGTGAAGAGAGTCTGGATCATGGATCCATAATCCACGGATTAATTTAAGCTGTGTCATGTCCATATTTCAGAGGGATGCTTGGGATTGGAGGAATTGGCTAAGAAAACCAAGGATCTGCAAGTGCAATAGGAAGAAGTCAAAAAGAACCCTATTGCGAAGCATAACCTGTGGGAGGAACAGGAGGGAAGTTCGAAACAAGAAGAGTCTGGGCCTCCCGTTTATAAAGAACAGAACAGCAGGGAACAGCAAAGAAAGAGAGGGACCCAGAGATAGCAACTGGGAGAATATTATCATAAGTTTGGCTAAAAAAACCAAAACTGATGGCAAACTGACTAGACAGAGTAGGGCCAGCAGAAAAGTTCATTAGATAAAGGCACTTGGCACCCAGTCCAATGACCCGAGCCCAAATGATAGAAGTAGAGAATGAATTCTCACATCTGTCCTCTGGCCACACTTGTGCCATTCATACTCCAGGGCACGTACACACCTACACACACACACCAAAATAAAAGTAAGAAAATAAAAGAAAGAGTAACTGATGAGCCACTGAGCCGCTGGAGGAGGAACAGAGACGGGATCAACTTTTTCTCTGAGCTCCGAAGAAGGGAAGTGAGCAAGTGAGGGGTGTGTGAATTCAGGCCTGAAGAGCAGATCATTAATTACTCACATGCACTTATGAGCTTTGTTATAATCTTAGCAAAGCCATATGAGTTCTTGTCAGAAAGCAAAATCTCCCTTTTCCTTTGAGCAGTGGTTCTCAACTTTCCTAATATTGTGACCTTTTAATACAGTTCCTCATGTCGTAGCAACCCGCAGCCTTAAAATTATTTCATTGCTACTTAATAACTGTGATTTTGCTACTGTTATGAATCATAATGCAAATATCTGATATGTACGATATCTGATATGCGACCCCCACCAAGGGGTCATGACTCACAGGTTGAGAAACACTGCTTTAGAGGGAACTTAATTCACCAGGATGAACGGAATCATCTCTTGAAGCCTTGAGAAAAACATGCAGTTACCGTCTCTTCTTCCTTTCTCTGTATGAAGGCCTATTTCATCTAGGCTTTCATTGAATAAACTTGTGATCCTCCTGCCTCAGCTTCCTCAGAGCTATGGTGACAGAATTGCACCCTTATATCCTGCACTTGTGTGCAGGTAAAACACGGGTTAAAGTAAGCATTGTGAGAGAGAATCACTGAAGGGAGACTGAGGTCCACGAAAGGCTTGAAAGAACTGAACTGCCTGTCTGGACGTTGTACACACACAGTGTTTGCTGGCTTTTATTTCCCCTGCTCCCTCTCAGTCTCAGTCCTGTGCTTGTGTCTGTTTGTTCTGCCGTCTGCTCCATTGCCCCTTCTCCTCCCTACCTTAGGACAAGCCTCCTCGGTGCTCTCTTTCTTCTGATACTGGGAGTGCTTGTCCGACTGCTCTCGGCTGCCCCTCCCCATCTGCCATGCCTTAAGGTTGTTTGTGTACATCTTTTATGCATTCTGTTTAGTGCTGTGTGTATAAAGGGTAGAGAATGCCTTTTGCTTTCTCTCTTATACTCCATGCTCTCTTGTTTCAGGGAAAAAAAAATCTACCAGATTAATATAATTCCCTTTTTACAAAAGGCAGAGCAAACCTAATTACAATTAAGTAATAGAACTTCAAAGTGTAAGATTTAGAACTTAGTTCACAGATATCTCTTCGGGTTTGACCTTTTCCTCTGTAGCAAATGGGCAGGACATAGTATTTGTCTCCTTTCAAGAAAATGTAAAAAGAAATGCCGAACTGTATTCAGCCTTTCCTCTCACATTTAACTGACAAAGAGAAATGAAACTGAAGTTGAAAGAAAACAATCCCATTGTAATTAATATTTTCCTTGAACTAACTTGGCCTTTCATTTCTATAACAATTTTTTAAATGTGTATATGTGTACCTGAGTTTATGTGTGTAATGTGTGTATACCATGTACACGCAGATGCTCACAGAGGCCAGAAGTAGGCATCAGAGCTCTTGGAACTGGAGTTACAAGTGGTTGTGGGCAGCCTGACATGTGTGTTGGGAACCAATTCCAGGTCCTCTGTAAGAAAAGCAAGTGTTTTTCATGTCTGAGTCATCTCTCCAGCCCCAATACATTCTCAGCTTTCGTGGTTTTGACAATGGGTTTATTTTTTTCTTAATGTTCTTCAGATTTTTTTGTCTTACGTCACGCATTTTATGAGCCAAAGCCACTGATACTGACGTGGAAGCTCCCAAGTGTTACACATCTTCTTTGACCCTTTCACAGTTGCTTCTAAGTGTTTGTGAAAGCAGACACAGGATGAGTCCTCAGAACTGCTCTGGAGAGGACAAGAACGGAGGCGGGAAGTGGCTCACAACAGTCCAATGAGCTGAAAGAATTTCACGGTGGCTGTGCGGGAACTTAGTGACGGTGAGCACACACACAGCCAGCAAGCTGGCGTTCACAGACAGCACAAACGCACACGACCATTTGAAGCAAATGGGCTACATTTATTTTTTACCAAGCCAAGCAGAAAATAACTCTAAAGACGAGTTATATCCTGTTTTGAGGAACCAAAAAGGCAGTACATATAGTTGAAGAGAGAGAGACAGATTGTGGCCAAGTTCGCAATGGGTCCAGTGAAGGCCCAGTCTCTCTGGGATGTGATTTGTGGTTCCTCAGGAAGAGTGGTTGGCCTAGTCAGAAGCCACTGCACGAATTCCTCTAACTTGGTGGCACTGAGGAAAAACCTCCATTTTCCTCCGTGAACAAAAGTGAGCTTGATCCATGTACTGAAGTCAGGGTAAATATAAATATTTGACCTTACCTTTTTACAACTCACGGCTGCATTCTGGAGGCTGTTATTTTTCTTCAGGGTTTTGGTTTGAGGAGACTTTGTTTTTTCCCTAATCTGCCCAGTAGGCTCTGGATAACTGGACACCCTCCCTGATTCTGCGAAAGAGATTTCACTCTCTAGGTCTTTTGAGGTTTCTGGTTGTAGGAGTTTATGGAACAGTTGTACAATTTCTTTACCCTTTTGTCCCTCCAGAACCTCTAGGCAACGGATGCTGGAGTAAGAATTCTGGCTTTCCAGCTCCTTCACCTTCTTCTTCAGAGAGTCGATGTCTTCTTTCATGGAGACGATGTCTTTGGTGGCTGCAATTTGTCTGTCTTCACTGATGCTTATTCTGGTTTCTAGGGCTTCCATTTGTTTCTGATAATGGTCAATCTTTTCCTGGATACTTGCTATTGCACTGACAATGTTGGTCATTTGGCTGAGGAGTTCCATTTGTCCCCTTTTAATGTCTTGGAGCATTGCTGTTAGATTCATTTCTTCATTCAAACCGAGAGCATCTTGGTTACAGTCATAAGGAGTTGTTGTTGGGTGGCTAATTGAATATGAGTGCTGGCTCTTACATTTCTGGTAAGCACTTTTAAGAGAGCGCCTGATCTTATGGAGACTGGAAGTCCACACACGTCCAGCAGCAGCTCTTTGGGTGTGGAGTCGGTACATTTTTTTTTTTCACTGAGATACAAGACACAAAGTGATGGGAAACATGGCAGGAATCAGAAGAAGAAATGATTTTTCTTTTTTGGCGTAGGATGGCCTTTCTCTTCCTATTTGTCAGTGATCTTTCCTGGTCACATCATTGAATATCCATGGAGAACAACAAAGGCAGCAACAGGCAGGGTTGGGTGAGCTGCCTCTTCCAAGGCAGCCTAACTGTGAACTAATAGTCCATGGCATGCGAGCCTTCCTGTGGCCCTCATCTGATGCTGATGTCACAATGGCCGCTGGCCTAGAACACAGATATATGCAGCACAGCGGGTGTCAACATTTTTGTCACAGGATGGATATTTTTCACTTGTAAAAATGATGAGGACTATAGAGCTTTTGTTTCTGTGAGTTATACTTATTTGTATTCCATATTATAGAACAACAAAGGAAGTCTTAAGATCTTTCTTAGTTTAAATAAAAACTCATTACATGTGACATAAATTACATATATTTTATGAAAAATACTTTTTTTTATTTTAAAGACAAGGTTTCACCTGTCCCAATCTGGTCTCATACTATGTAACTGAGGGTGACTTAGACTTCTGATCTTCCTGCCACCACCTACCAAGTCACACTGGTGGAACCTACCTAATTTATGTGGTCCTGGGAATCAAACACAGGCCTCTTTGAATTCTAAACAACTGTCCTGTAAAATGGAGGCAGACTGCTTCCCTCTGCCTGGCTTCCTGCTAGTTTACCTGAAATAATTACACGGAAATTGTATTCATTTAAACACTGCCTGGCCCATTATATCTAACCTCTTTTTGGCTAACTCTAACATCTTGCTTTAACCCGTATCTAGTAATCTGTGTATCACCATGGGGGTCATGGCTTACCGGGAAGATTCTAACCTATGTCCATCTCAGGCCGGAGCTTCATGGCATCTGCCTGACTTTGCTGTCTTTCTCCTAGCATTCTGTTTGGTCTACTCCACCCACCTAAGGCTGGCCTATCAAAAGACCAAGGCAGCTTCTTTATTTAACCAATGAAAGTAACACATAGAAAGAAGATGCTCCTACATCACTGTCCTATCTCCTTATCCCTAAATCTACTTTCTACAGAAAAAAATATTAAAAAATGACTTATTGATTTACATATGTGTAAGTGTTTAAAATACCTAGATTAGGCCAGACATGGTGGCATACACTCAAGAGGCAGAGACGGAAGGATCTCTGTGAGTTTGTGACAAGTCTACAATTTACATATCATGTTACAGGACAGCCAGGACTAAACAAACACCCCCCCATAAACCAAAGCGAATTAATTAAATTAAATTCCAAGATTAACAGGAGACACTTAACTCCTTATTATGTTTCTAGTTTTGTGAGACGCCTTTTTGGTTGAATGTAGGAAGGAAGTGTGGCCCTGTAGGAATCTGATGTTTGAAGAAAATTGTAACAGTCTTTCATAGATAATTGGCAACATTATTATTGCTTATACCACTAAAACTTGACAAATGGCAATTGTTTTACAAGTTGTTCACTATGTGTAATCTTAGATCACATCAATGAATTTCAAAATCTTACTATGTTAAAATTCATTGGCTTATCTTTGGTCTTGAATGGGTGTCTGATAGCCAGCATTGGTCATGGGGAAAGTGGTTAATTGAATTATGCAGATCTTATAAACAATAATTCCTTCTTATTATATGATAGCAAAATGTCATGGGGCTACGTAGATGGCTTGGTGGATAGGCGTGCTTTCTGTACAAGCCCCTAGGACAATCGTAGGAATAGTTTCCCCCACGCACTCAGCATGGCTCGATTTCTCAGCACCCATGTGAAAATGCCAGAAATAATCATGTGGTAACTCCAGGCTGAGGGAACAGAGACAGGTGGATCCTGAGAGCTTGGAACCAACCAGCCTAATCATGGAACTTTCACAACAGTGAGAGAAGAGACCCTGCCTCAAGGGAATAAGCCTAGAGTTAGAGAGGATAGAGGAGATATTCAGCGGCTTCCTCTTGCCCCTGCTGTGCGCATGTTTCTCTCTCTTGTACACCACACACATGTGTGCATGCACACACATAACATGTGCCACATTCACTAATGGCACCTCCAGTTTCACTAGGACAGCCCTTTAGGATTGTGAAATATGGTGGTAAAAGCAAATCTTCCTAAGTTATAACTTTAGCTTAAAAGCTTAAAACTGATCGTTTGCTTTTTTCTTTGACCATTAGGTTTGTCATATTCATTTTTAGTAAAAATGGGTTACTAAATGCCCCAAACTATAGATACCATAATTTGTTGCCAGTCATATGCTCAGATAAAGTGGCATTTCCTGAGACAAGAGGCTAGTTTGGTCTGTAACTCGGAATTTTCTCTAGACAACCTTTGGAAAGCTTTGCTTTGGGAAGCGGCCGAACACATCATCATCTTTACTTCCACACTGTGGAAAATATAAAGGGTTGAAATTCAAAAAACTTTTTTTTTTTAAAAAAAAACATGACTGCTTCATCAAAAGTTTTTTGTGTGTGTGAGTGAAATTGTCCCCACCCCCACTACTTGGGTTGTGCTACAGTATGCATTCACTCTTGGTCCTTTCTGATTTTACAGCCTTGGCACGTCCTGAGGGATAACCAGCTTCATACACCACGGTGTTTGCAATGTGCATCACGAAGGCAGGTGGTGCCTTAGCATTACCTTAAAACATCTCTTCTCTCAAGGATCACCATCTGCCACACTTTGAGAACTATTGCCTCTGAGGGCAAAAGCAGTCTTGGAAACCCAAATCTTTCAGAATACTAAATAATATTTTGTCCATATGATGTATTGAGATAAAAGTTTTATTCTTGGAGCATATACGTCTGAACATTGGAATCAAAGTGATGTGCCACCTAAGACCTATATGTCTTGAGGAGCGGTCCTATCTCTTTGAGGGAATTAAAGAAAGTTAACGTCAGTTATAACCGGCTACTAAGTCACTATTTCTCCTATTCGTGCCAAATTGCAGGGTCAATCTTGGCACAGGTTTTGGTATAAACTCTGAACTTAGCCAAAAGTGGTTTAAGAATGTTGGCTCCCTGACAGCACCTGGGGTTTTGCCTCACTCAATCTCTGAATTGCTGCTTGGCTCTTTCTAGAAGAGCTAGTCACCTTTCCAGACTCTTGCTGGGAAAAGAAAATGTTCTCCAGGAAACAGGCTATGATGGACATGGGGACTGAAGCCAGAAAGATTAGGGTCAGAATGGTCCTATTTACTTTGGCCAAGGACATTGTATCCACCAGTGTTCACAGGAGCAGCACTTAGGACCGGTGAAGATTTCTAGAGCCAATACAAACATCTGAGACCAGAGAGGAAGACAAACAAACTATGGACTGAGAGCCCTGAGTGAAAGCTCTAATACTGAAGCAGTGAATGTTTAATTAGATAGCTCTGAATTGTAATATATATCTTCATTAATTGTCAAATTTAATCTCATTAGTATTGAGTAGGTTTGGAGGAGATTGGTAGATAATGCACATGAATATTTCAGAAATTTCCACACTAGGGTGATTGCTGGTAGTCACTACTCCTTCAAGTATCAGCCCAGTCTCACTCAGTGTCTTCCAGACACAGTATATGTATTCCTTGTTTCTGTCACAAATCCCCAACAAAAGGGATGTAAGGCGGGAAGGATTATTTTGGCCAGAGTTTGAGGGTCAGATCACCATAATGCAGAATGCATGGCCACAGATGCACAAGGCAGTGGTCACACTGCATCAGCAACCAGAAAACAGAGAGATGTAAACACGGTGCTCAGCTTAACACAGTACTGAGCTGGCTTTCTGCTTCTCATTCCATACAGAACTGCAGCCCAAGGGATGGTACCAACCACATTTAAAGTGGGGCTTCCCCACTTGTATCATTCCAAACTAAAAACTTCCAGACATGCCTAAAGGTTTGTGTCCTAGGTGATTCTATAGCCTGACAAATTGACAATATCAACCATACCACATGGTTATAAATATTACCTATTTATGTGAAGTTCGGAGAAGTTCAGATACTTCCCTACGGAGTGATACTACTGAAAAGTGGGCCATCAGACTTCACATCTTTGCATTCTGGTTCTACAGATCATGTGTTTGCTCTCTATTGCCACACAGTTAAGATAAAAATGTACACATTTGTCATAACTCAGGAGAAGATAGACATTTCTTTTTTAAATCACCCTATAAACAAAACTACTTTTACTAAAATTTTATTTACGTAACAATATGAGAACACTAAAGCTTCAACTAGGTATTTTATTCACCAAAACTGTTTGAAGCAGAGATTTTCAAGATTTTAGAAGCTGGATTTGTTCTAACACATAAGTAAAAATGAGCTAAGTTAATGGTAGAACACTGGAAAGGTATCAATTTTTTTATTGATTTTTATTGAGCTATATATTTTTATCTGCTCCCCTCCCTGTTTCTCCCCTCCCCTTCAACTCTCCCCCTCCCCGTCTCCATGCTCCTAATTTACTCAGGAGATCTTGTCTTTTTCTACTTCCCATGTAGATTTGATTTATGTAAGTCTCTCTTAGTGTCCTCATTGTTGTCTAAGTTCTCTGGGATTGTGATTTGTAGGCTGGTTTTCTTTGCTTTATGTTTAAAAAAACACTTATGAGTGAGCACATGTGATAATTATCTTTCTGTGTCTGGGTTACCTCACTCAAAATGATGTTTTCTAGCGCCCTCCATTTTCCTGCAAATTTCAAGACATTGTTATTTTTTCTGCTGTATAGTACTCCATTCTGCAAATGTACCACATTTTGCTTATCCATTCTTTGGTCGAGGGGCATTTAGGTTGTTTCCAGGTTCTGGCTATGACAAACAATGCTGCTAAGAACATAGTTGAGCACATCTTTGAGGCACAATTGAGCATCCTTTGGATATATATCCAAAAATGGTATTACTGGGTCTTGAGGAGTTAGTTTTTTGAGAAAATCAACAAAATAGAGAAATCTTTATGTAAACTAACCAAAAGTCAGAGAAAGAATATCCAAATTAACAAAATAAGAAATGAAAAGGGGGACATAACAACAGACACAGAGGAAATATAGAGAATCATCAGGTCATAATTTGAAAACCTGTGCTCCACAAAATTGGAAAACTTAAAGGAAATGGACAATTTTTTGGATAAATATCACTTAACAAAATTAAAATCAAGAGCAGATAAGCAAATTAAACAGACCTATAACTGCTGAAGAAATAGAAACAGTCATCAATGTCTCCC